GTGTGCTCAACAAGGTTAACCTTATCTGGGTACCGGGTCATCGAGGCATCAGAGGCAACGAAGAAGCAGACAAGCTCGCTCGTGAGGGCAGCAACACGGCCTTCTTGGGGTCAGAACCTGTCATAGGGGCCGCCTTCTGTCTGGTAAAAACCAAGATCAGGAACTGGACTAACGACCAGTTCCAGAACAAATGGCGTGAACAACAAGGCCTCAGGCAGTCTAGGATCTTTATAAAGAGTCCTACTACATGCAAAGAGGCAAAAAGATTCCTGAAACTTAACAGGAACCAGTTAAGAACCATCACAGGAGTCCTAACAGGACACTGGGTAGTCAAATATCACCTACACAAAACCGGACTTAGCAACAAGTCGGACTGTAGGTACTGCAGCGAATTAGACGAAACTACCGAGCATATAGTCTGCGAATGCAACGCTCTAGTCAATAGTAGACTAAGACACCTAGGGGACAGATACTTGGAACCAGAGGAAATAATGCATGCCCGACCAGAGCGGGTCTGCGCTTTTCTTAAAAGCTGCGGGCTCGTAAGGTAAGGCAGGGCGTCACCAAAAGGGGGTTTGCACAATGGGCCGTATGTGTGCCTAAGTGCTGCCTGCAAAGGCTCCCCTTCAAATCAATCAATCAAATCAGGGCACAGGGTCTACATAAAACCAACACACACGGACCACTACCTCAACGCCCAGTCTCACCACTACGTCACAACTGCAGTTTTTAAGACACTTGTCACGCTATCCGAAAGGCTGGCGGATGATGACCACAAGAAACAAGAAGGCCTGAAAATCCAAAGAACTCTACAGCAAAACGGATTCTCCTAATCCATTATCAAAAAGGCTCTAAGACCACGACGCGGTTAAATACCACAGAGGAAGAGAACAACTAACCAACTTTAAAGGCCTTTCTTCCCTACATCAAAAGGACAACCGAGAGAATAGGCAAAGTTCTCAAAAAACATAACATGGAAGAACGAAATTTGGAACATTTGTTATAAATTGTTTTCAGAGCCGACTATTATTGATTTAATGTTAATTTTTGTTTTTCAAACGTTTCAAATAATACATTTTACAAGGAAACCCATTTTTCTTAAATTTTGAATTACAGCGCCAACTGTTGATAAATTGAAAAAAAGTTTCAAATAAAAGTTATTTATTTTTTTATGTACTACCAAAATCTTTAAAAAAATCGGGTCATCCCATTTGACTTTCCAAAGTTACCCCCCGTTTCACCCTTAAGAAGGGGTAGGGGGTGGCTAGAGGTAGCACCAAATAATGTCCCCTTTGGCCACATTAACCTTTTATTTAAGACATTTTTCCGTGAAATGCGTATTTCTCGATATATTGAGCTGTCTCAAGTTAAAAGAAACATCCTGTATATAGCGAATTGCTGCGGTCATTTTCTTTAGAACACATGCTAAGCTTACCTACCGTTGCGCATTAATTTATAAAAAAAGTACATTTAAGTGTATATATTTTAATTTTTTTTGCAAAGTAATGCTAATAATATCACTATTTCAAAAAAAATGTTTGGAAGATTATATATTTTTCAGAATTAGTACTTATTCTGAAGAAGCTACTCTGTAGCTAAACAATTGTTAATCATTAAAAAAATAAATAAAATAGTTAAACTTTAAAACAGTGTTGTTTTTATTCATATAATAATATGGAGTTTCATCAAGTAAATGTCGAAACAATCAACAGTAATGTAATTATTATTAATTATTTATTAGAATATTTAACAAAATATATATTGGATACATAAAATAATATTATATATACCAGAGGTGGCAAAATTTCTGGGTTTTATAGCTAAAAATGTCTTTAAAATGGCTAAAACCATACTTTTTTCGGTGCATCATATAAACTTTTGAAATGTTGGTATTCTAAGGTCCCAAATCTAGGGACCCTATGGTATTATTTATGTAAACGCCATCTATCGCCCTGTAGTTGCACTACCATTTTCACTTGATGCAATGATTTTAGCATCACATTGACAATCGTGCCCGATCAGCTGATTGATGACGTTTACGTCGTTTCCTTTTAAATTTACTACACAATAAATCTTTTAATTTTTTTATAGAAAATTATCTGCTTTTATTTACATTATTTCTGATGTTATTTTCTTCAACTAAAAATTCAATAATTTAAGCAGTGTGATCGCTTAATTATTAAATTTTGTACATAATCAATTGCCGAAAAGGATTTTTTAGTTATTCTCGTTGGTTCATTAAAAACTGTAAATAAATTGAAGGAATGAATTAAGTCTAGTAAGTTTATTTTAGCAACACTGTTAATTAAAAAGTTTATGTTTAGGTCACAACATAAAATTTATCTCAGCTTGGTGCTCTATAAACAAAAATTATACAAAATAGACAACAATTTGATTCCATTTTTATCACAGCAAACTCAAACACTTTTTCTTCATTGAATTTCGAGTAACCTGGAAGGACACAACAATTTTTAAACCAATTTTTTTTTGCTAAAATTATGATTTCTTTGTGACGAAAGTTGCTTCTAGTGTAATGACCAATATATTGGTTTAACACTATAGTGTTAAAATTGTGAATTTTGAAGTGATTAATATTATCATAAGTACACCAGGACTCAGTAACACACATCACATCAACATTTTCTGTAGATAGGAATAGTAATTGTTTAATTTTATTTTTTATAGGTACTTTGAAGATTTTGATCATAGAATGAGCTTATTCGAATTGAATCCATTATATATTGGTCCAGTATTATATAATATATTACCAGCTGAGTGGAAAGTTTTACCACTTAAAAGATTTTTTAAGTGTGTAAAAGAGTTTTTAATAACAAATTCTTTTTATTCTATAAGGGAATTTCATATGTATGCTTTTTAATATCTATTTTATCTATTTATTATTTTAATCAATGCATTTCGTTATTGTTTTATATTATATTAAGTGTTTATGTTTTTTACTTGTTATTTGTTTATGTTATTTATTACTGCTCATTATTTAGTACCTACCTGCATGATACAGGTTGTATTTATATTTAATATTTATATTTAATACTTTTGTAAAATTATTGTTGACTTGTCCTATACTCTGTTTTGTAGTCAAAAGGATTAATAAATTTATTATTATTATTATTATTATTATATACAAATATATTTTTAAGTTTAGTGTGGGGTAGTTGCTTTTGACTAAGATATGGGGTTTTTGATTTAATAGAATTTATTTGTTTAACGTACATTGGACATTTAGGATTTTTTGAAGAGTGATCACGGTTTAAAATTTACTCAAAACGTTTATTGTATTGTTTAATAGCAAATGTTTCTATATTCCTGCATTTTTTCCATTCTACAAACAAAATCCCCTAATTTTATTTAGGATTTCAAGTGAAACTTGCGTAGTTAGATTTACACTTTTATTATCCTTAAAATTAGTTTAAAATCGTTTAATTTAATTATACTTGTAGCTAATTCTTCATTGGATTTTTCTATAGAAAGCATATCATAAACTTTAATTTGTAGGTTATATAAAAAAGGTTAATAGTTGACATAAATTCTTAACAATAAAAATATATGTTAATGCAGCTAGCGGTTCCTGATCTTAATTCCTTCTCAATTTTGTTCTTAAGTGCCTCATAAGTGATTGGATGGTGACAACATTGATATCACGAATCTTTTGGTAAATTCTTTTTCTTAGTTGTTCTTCGTTTTCTGCCTCCCATCCTTTATCGTAAACTTTCCTACTATCCTCCTCTTTAATGGGTCGTGCTAAGAGATTAAGTGAATTATCTTGTTTGGGTACAAAATTTTTACTACAAATGGAACATTATTGGCTTGTAACCATTCTCTAGTTTCCCTGGCATAGTGGCAAGAAGCTAAATCAGGCCAGAACATAATTTCATGATTGTTTATAAATCTTAACAATTTAGGTAAACATATTTGTTTATAAAAACCTGCTGTAACGGCTTCACCTATAGATTCACCAACTTTTTCTTTTGCACTTTACTCTTAGTCTAGCTGCTGTGATATCTGTTAATATCCGAGGCCTTCCGCTTTTTGGTAACTTCATACAAGATATTCCTTCCTCATATTTCTTTATTGTTATGTACTTTCTATAAATAAATTGGTCAAAAATGACTAATTGTCATAGCGAAAAAGTTTTTGAGATATAGTAAATTTTCAATTTAATACGGGATTTGACTATATATCAAAAACTGCTATACTTTCATAATTTTTAACGGTATTTTCGGATTAACGGGAAAATTTTACATAAGAATTGGCTGTTAAATTTTTGGATACCATGGTATCCCATGTTTAACCATGGTACAAGTGATAAAGCAGCCACTAATAACTTAAGTAATTAGTCATTTTTAGAAAGAAAATTTTAGCACGGAAGATATAAAACATATTAACAATATAAACGGTAAGTTTTTCAGATTAAACGACCATTAAAAAAAGGCTATATAGGCTATATCTGTAACCAAAAGGGAGCAAACGTTAACAAAATAGAAAAAAAACAAAATAAGATAAAAAATTAAGCATTTCAAGTCCTCGACATCACGTGCGATTTTTTAAATTTAATAATAATAATAATGTATGGTAACAATGTAAAATGTAAATCTAATAAGAATAAATGTTTTATACAATCATTACTGGAATATTTTTCTTGTTGAGTTATATTTATTAATAGGTATTGTTTAGCAAGGTTATTTTGCCGATGTCTTTATATTATACATGTTAAACTTACGCATACAGATTGGTAACGATAAACTATGAAGGTTGATAGAAATTAATATTGAAATAGGATTATTTAATTACTCTCTTGGATATTAAATAAGTATTTCAATTAACGCGAGGAAGTCAGTATGTAAAATTCTTTGCTAAACTACCACAACCTTATAAAAATAATCAAATGAAAACATTATTCCTCCAATCTTTTTTATCATATAAATAAGATGGTAAAAAGCCAAGCCTTTGCATTCTATTACCTATTATTATAGAATATAAACATGAATCTGTTGCCTGGAATTCTTGTGTTTAACTGTTTGTTAATTTCCGTTTTTGGCCAAAATAGCATAACCAGTCGGCTGGATAAACTAGATATCAATTATGTTTTATCCACAGGAAGAATATTAGACAACTATTTGAAGTGTATTATGGATAAGGGTCCTTGCACAGTTGAGGGGCGAGAATTAAAAGGTGAGCAAAATAATGAAATTATTTTAAAAAAACGTCTAATTAATAATGTAATAATAAAAACATTTAATGTTGTTGTAGTTACACCCCTTTTTTGATAAAAACATGAATACTACGAAATTATAAACAAAAAACCTAACTATTCTAGATGATCCCACTTAAGCTAATTATATATTTTAAATTAACAATTTTGTAACATAATTTTCATAACTAAATAAAAAGTTTTGTTTTTAATAACAATAATTATAATTAATATTATTTACACGACTGACATGCTTTATTTATTTTAATATACAAACAAGTTTTAAAATTTTAATAAAATAGGTATATTTTATAAAATGATTTTATATAAGATTTGTTGCGCCAACAAATAATTAATTTGTTTAAGTAAAATATATTCCCAGGCTAAATTTTAGATATCCATTATAATTATCACCATGTGCCCAAATCTATGTGAATATGGAAATTAATAAAACCAATGTATTTTTTATAGGTTCTCACTTAATTATCTAAATGGGCGCCTGATTTTCACTTAAATTAAATATAGTAGTAAAAATTATTTGTTTGAAATATATTAATGGATTTAAGTTATGATAGTTTATGTATTTTACCATTTATTTTATAACTTTACTAACTCGGGCCCTAAAGGAATTGTTTTTCTATTTAAAAAAAATTCTACGTAAAACCAATTTAAATTTAATTTTTTATTTTAAAATACAGTTTGCTTGTTTTTTTTAGTAAACTTATTTTTTTATTAAAATAGCTGGAATATTTTAAGATATTTAGTAACTGTCATTCGTTCTGATTTATAAAATATATCTTTACCCCAGAGCCATAGTAGGACAAGCAATTTTAACAGAATATTCTGTGGGTTTCATAGAATTAAACAACAATGCAGATACAAATTCCGCGTTCCAAATCTTCAAACGACTCTCCTTCAAAATCAAGTTTTTGAACCTGAACTACTTTGGCTCTGAGGTACAGGTATGGTTTGTGTCAATTCATCTATTAAATTAATAAAAAGGTAATTGGTTTTACAATTTTAGTTTAGTTTTTTCCTCGATATGATAATATATAAATAAAATAAACATTTTGACTAGATTTTATTTATGGGACAAGCCAGGATACTGAGAGTTGGGCCCTTTAAAAAGTATTTTCGAAAAGAAAATATTTTTAGATTTGAATAATTTTAATTTTCCTAAAAGTTTAAAATATAAATTAATCCGGTTTGTATTACATTATTCGTGATATAAGCTGAGCCTCCAAAATTTCCCAAATTTGTAGATCTAGCCATAGACCATTTATTGAATTTATTATCATTTATTGAATATCTATGTACCTAAAGGGTGTCTAAGATTGTAATCGAAAAAATGTAAAAGTCAATAAAACTCGCAAAAATAAGTTTATATGAAGTTTTATGCCTTAAAGATTTGTTTTCAAAAAGATAAGTTAATAAAAACAATTTGTTCAGGCCACTGCTTTTTTTAAGAAAATATTTAAGTTCGTTTAGGCTTTTCGTTTTATTTGAAAATCAAACTAGATAGTAGGTAAAAAAAAATGCAAGGGACAAAAAGGTTATATATAAACTTATAAAAAAGCAGTAAGGTATACCTAATTTTTAATTTTATATATCCAGTTGGGATGCCCCAGCGCGCCTTTAAATTAAGCGCTTTAATGGGTAAATGGGTATACTGAATACCTTTAACATTTTTTCTACTCCCACCCTTAAAACGACCATTATCGTACATGTTTCCATGACACTAAGTGACCTCTTAAATACACATTGACAAGTTGTGGCTTTATGGCGTTTTATTCACGGGCTGAAGTTAGTTTTAAGTTTGTTGACAGTTGTCAAATGTTATACAATCGTTAAAATAAATTGCCTTTCTTATAAAATAATACTAAATGTATATTATCTCAATACAAAAATACAAATGTATTAAATAGTTTCTCAACGCCAATATTTGAAAAGTTTATATGAACATTGTACTGACCTTTTAATTTCGCCGGCAGTAAACTATAACTTAAATTCGGACACTGAAAAACTGTCAATTTTCAAGAAATACATTTCGATTTATAACCTTAATAACTTTACTACCCTGTATCTTAAAAACAAAGCTTGAATACATACAAGTTCATGAAAACTTGACTAAGTACTAAATTTATCCTAATTTAATCTAAGACACACATGGGGTTTCCATGCCAAATCGGCCGCGAAAAACGGACATGTCTACGATAGGGTTTTAAAGTGTCGAAAAAAAAAACGAACGAAAAAATTGGTGAAAAAACTGTTTTTTTCCAGTTTTTTTCCAGCTCTTGGAGAAATTGACTTTTTAGTTACAAATTGATTTCTTTTGGAAAATATACACATTTGAAAAAATTTATTTATTTGATACACATTATTTATTACAGAAAAAAACTAAAACTAAATATTTAATTAATAAGTTAAATTTATTTAAGAAAATAAACGTAATCGTTAAATATACTGTCGGTTGGGTCTTTTTTCAAAAAGGAGTCCTTTTAAAAAATCCAATTACAAAATGAACTTAAATTACAAGGTTTTTATGTTAATAAAGCACCGAATATGTTTTTTTTGCAGCCCGGTAGAATAATCCTACTGAATTAAAATAAAAGGAATAATTATTATAATGGGGTAGTTAAATTTTTTCTGACCTATACTTTTTATGGTTTTATTCAAGGCGTTTTTTAATTTTAAAAATCTTTGTGAAATCGGAATTTTAATTAAGTTTACCGTTTTCGAGATATTTACAAAAAAAAGTCTCCTAATTACGTCACTAGGCTATTGACAACGTTGCCAGCTTTTTCTATGGTGTTTAGTTTAAGATTCTTACGATAGATGGCGCCACGTTATAATATTATAGTTTTAAAACCACTTGATCTAAAATTTTAGTTGAGAAGAAGAAGAAGAATTGATTTTTTGACGTTTCTTTTTTTCGGGTTATGTTTTTTTTTAATTTAGATTATTGAAAATCAATGTTATTGTTATGTTATTTGTAATTGATATTAGATAAGTGATTTATTAATAACGGACTCCAAAGCAGAGGAATCTTGTGGAATGATTGGTTACATTGAACATTGGAGCTTTTAAACAAATAAAGTAAATACCTATAATTGGACGGCTTTCTGCAGAATGGGACCAACCCACACCATGATGAAACTGAGAAAAAAGCTATCAAAGATTTTAATAATTTTAAAATTACCTGTTAATTTTATGCCGATTTTGGACTTACGGAGGTTTAAGGGATATAATTTAATAATTTCATCAGGTGGATTTTGTGATGTCCCGAGCGAAATTCTGAATCCGAATTGCATCTCAAATGTCAGGGTGATGTCATATTTGAGTTTTTAAACGAACAATCCACTGATGAATATCAGTGTAATATCCGATTTCAGCTTGTACACGAACAATCCACTGACGAATATCAGTGTAATATCCGATTTCAGCTTGTACACGAACAATCCACTGACGAATATCAGTGTAATATCCGATTTCAGCTTGTACACGAACAATTCACTGACGAATATGAGTATTATATTCGATTTGAGTTTGTAAGCAAACAATCTACTTACAAATATCAGTGTGGTATCCGATTTAAGTTTGTAAACAAACAATCAAATGTCACACTGATCAGTGTCGATATATCGACAGTACTATTCAGACGTCTATTCAGGCTATTGCAATTGCAACAATAAATTAATTTATAACAATTGTTATTGTTGGTAATTTATTAATATTATATGGAAAGAAAACGAGATTTAACTCGAGCGCGCGTTTTTAAATGTCGGTCTCTTAAAAAAGCAAAGTTGGCATCTATAGACCAAGTTCAACAATTGTTAACTTAAGTTATGCAAAATGTGTTAGCACGAATAAACGATAGGGCTAATGCTATATTGCATATTGGACAAGTGGAAAATATTATCGATCCGGAAAATAATCCACTCAATGACCATGTAAATCAAGAAGAAAATGAAGGCCAGGACATTTTAAATGAAATACAAGAAATTGGGGAATATCCTGACTTGGTTGAAAATGAAGAAACCAACAACCTCGTCCTAAACAATGATATTTTAAATGAAGAAAACCAACATCCCGATAATGAGTATTATAGTTATGATAAGGACAGAAATAGTGAGAATGAGGAAGACGAGGTTGATGAGGACAATGCAGATGTAGCAAATTTAAATGATGGAATATTCCCCAATGTAGAGGAACCAGATGACATTAAAGATTTGAGAAATTGGGCTCTACAAATTCCTAAAACCCTAGTAACAGACCTGTTGCAAATTTTGCGAAGGCGAGCATTTCCAGAACTACCTTTGGATAAGACTGTACCTAGGAAATACTATTTATTTTGTTTGTAAGGAGTTCAATTTTATTTTTATTAAATGTTTTACCTTTTATAAAATACAAAAGTCAAATTTATAAGTGACTTTTGTATTTTCTAGCATCTGCATCTATAGCTTTGGTTTCTGTTTGCTATATTTATAAATGCAAATGTTAATTAACATTTGCATTTATAAATATAGCAAACAGAAACCAAAGCTATAGATGCAGATGCTAGAAAATACAAAAGTCACTTATAAATTTGACTTTTTTATTTTCTTGTGCCTGCAGCTATAGCTTTGCGTTTCTTTTTGCTATATTTTTACCTAACCATTAAAATATCACATCAACATTTGCGATAAATATCAGCCTGATATTGCAAAGAAACTTCACACTGACATCTGCAATAAATATAAGCCTGATATTTCTGAAAAATATCACACTAATATCATCAAAGGACATCAGCCTAATATTCCAGACAGAACATTACACTGACATCTGCAATAAATATCAGCCAAATATCAACCAAGCGTTACATGGAATTGTCAGCCTGATGTCCGTTTCGTGTACGTCAGCTGATGTTCGCGGATACGATTCAGATATCACCCTAACGTAAATCGGATTCAGAATTTCGCTCGGGTATGTGTAAGGGTGACGA